TTTATAAAAAGATAAGCTTCAGTTCCCACAGCCAGTAATGGATTCAATCGGGGCCTGTTACGTAATGCAAACGCTGCAGCTTTCAAAAGCGGAGCACAACAGAATGGGGGAAAAAAGGCAATTGGGATACGTGGACACTCAATCAGCATGCGACCCGTCGAAAAAGGTTCTTTGCAATCGAGCATACACGGGTTTAATTGGCTGTAGAGCGGACGCGCACGTACGAAACGCGACACGGCATCGTGCGCGGACGGATCCAATTTGCGACGCGGATTCACCCTCTCTGATCGGCCGTCACAATTAAAGTCGTAAAATCGCGGACTAATGGCGTCGTTACATTAATTCCAGCCCTGGCGCGGTGCAACGAGAAACAAGAATGCCTCGACACGCGTGAAAAAACATATTAAACCGCCGCTGTCAAATTAGCTGCATTGTGGCTGTGGTAAAAATAACATGCTTCTGCGTTTCTACATGTGTATGCTAATCGATCCTTAAACGTCTGCCATTTCTAACAATAATCAAACGTTTTTTGAAAGCCATTTGAAATTGTCTGTCAGATTGTCGTAGGAAAATAATCTTAAATATGTAAATATGCACTTTTTTTATACGTTTTGACAGCGGTTACTTATAATACACGTATGATGTACAACAGTCACGCAATTCAGAATATATGTTTGTTTATAGTATGTTGAAGCATGTGATTTATGATCAGGCGAGTTAATGACTTAGCGTGTTGCATCGATCATCGCAGATAAAGTCGTCAGGCCAGAATTTTAATGATTTCTAAACAACGAAATCAATAAATTTCACGGTTGCATGGATTCGATTCGTCGCACTGCGCGCGGGCTTAGGGGGTGAAACGCGAGACAAGGTCGATCGTCGTGCAATTTTATTCAATATCGCGACCGCAGCTAGTCGTGTAAGTGAACGAGATTAGCGTTTAAGGTGATCATCGTTGATGAGCGGCTCGCTAGAAGCGGAATGAATAATAGAGACCGGTCTCGTGGGGAACACGTTCTGATTGAGTTAACCGGCGCGGCGGAGTATACTATACATACGTCATTATACGCCAACTCGTCGGCGGGTCGACGCCAAGGCCGACTGCCGCGAACGCGTACAATCTCGACGCATCGTATTCAGGTCGTTCCTAATTAACCTGCCAATGCACCGATCCGCGTAACGACGAACCCTCCACGTATTTCGCTCGATGTTTATCGCCGATTTCGTTCGATCAATCAATTCATGCCGGATCAGAAACGGTCTTAACGTCGAGCGGAGAGCTTTATATTTATAGGTGCACGTGGGAAACGAAACCGAGAGCGAATTCAACGGTTGAGAACAATGGGAAATAATGCAGGCGACCTTGCACTTGGGTTTCCTTTTATATTTCGTGCAGTTTAATTGTTTCTTGCTTGCGAACAGGCATGCGTTTGTGCTAAAGTGGAGGAATACGTTGGACGATAGTAAATTATATTTTAAATCTCGTTATGAGTTGGCTTATTTATACGAGCTGAAATGTTTCTAAATGTGTCAAGTTAATTTAACGATTCTTTTCTTCAGTAAATATTCACAAAACATAAATTGCGTATTTCTACAGTGAAATTTGTCTGTCACATGTATTGGTAAAAAATCTCGAGATAAAAAGAATGAGGAGAAACTGCTTAAAAGGCTGACTATAATGAAAACACATGCTTGCCAGATATTAAGACATCTGCACCATGCAACGCGTTTATATTTTATTCTCCAGCCGTGTAATTTTCTCAATTAAAATAATTAACTGACCGTAATCACAAGCGAGGAAAGAATTTATAAACATTATTTCATCCACCTTAATGTAATTCATTGCCAACGTCTGTTTGCAAGGCAGATGTACGCGTAGTAACGATTACATCAAATTATGGCAAACAGTCGACTTCTGTCTGTATATTAAATCAAGATCGTAAGTTCATTTTTTATTTTATTTTTTACTAATGATGTTCGTTCTTTAATATACTTCAAACCTGTGTTTAATTAAAAATTAAATTGGTTTATTTCTGAAGAACATTTCTGTAAATTGTGCGTCCCCTGTTTTTCTTTTTACACAGTTGCCCTTTCTGTGGACGCATGGGATTACATTACAGGTGCTTGCCTTGATTAGTTTTTTTTAGTAACAATTAACGCTTTGAAAATCATTGACGTACGATTACGTACGTTCATCTGTGCCAAAGGAGTTAGTTGGTAATTACCGAGTCTATTCGTGTGCAATTAGTTACTCGTTTTCCTATTACAGACAATTACGGATGTTGGTTGCGAAACTTCCAACTCGAACGATTGCGAGGAGAACTTAAACACTTTTTTGCTGAAACCTATTTTCCTCAGCCTACATTACACGTAACAGTTAAACCGTGTGTGTTTCACGAGACTGGAATGTAATTAATTTAACATTTCCCAAATATTAAAACTAAAAAGGGTTAACAAATTTCGTTTAAGAAAAATCGATTCGCATTACTCGCTGCTCTACGCGTCTTCTTCAATTTAACTCAAAATCGAACCTGGCGAAGTATGTGCAGTGAGAGTAGGTATTCCAGATTGTCGAAACATCTAGTCGAGAAGCAATTTCTTCACCGAGAAGTTTGGCAAGAATTTATTTCACGAGTTGAAACTCGGTAGCCAGTCGAAGTTTCTCCCCAATTAGGCAGTCATCGAGGCATGAATATTAACCGGCCTATTCCTATCAAAATATCAATATTTAGTACGCGAAACTCACGGAACCGTGTTATCGATTCGCAATCGGCCGGGTTATGCAAATTCCGATCTCTCTCCGGTTTTATTCCACCCTCGTTTTTCTTTCGATTGTGTCATTGCCTCCGCAACCGAATTGTCAGTGAAAATCGACTGCGAAGCAATCTCGCAATTTTCGTTCTCAACAAAAAAAAGAAAACGGGAGATCGCCTACGTTTTATTTTCCGAATTTCACATTTTCATTTAAAGAGTAATTAACAATTATTTCTATTATAAATTGATTATATATTTTTTAAAAATGGTCCGGGGATATTGTCAATTCGGAAAAAGACAGGGAATAAGATTACTAATAATCGTAACCATAAATGCCTTTTTGGTAACACTAATTTAATAAAACATGAAAAGTAATGCATGATTGGACTCAGTAAAAAAAAAGCAGATAATCTGCTGGTTTTCTCGGCGATTTCGCCTCGGCGGCGGTGTCCTTGCCATAATTGGAGAACGGCGTCGCGGCAAAAGCGAGCGGGCAGCTCTAAAAGGGCCCGGGGAGAGAACGAGGGCAAGCAGGAGAGAACGGGAATCGGGGGAAAGAAATAAGAAAAAGAGAAGGTCTGGCTCTCTTCTCGACTGATGCTCATGAATCTCATGATCGATGCTTACGCGCGGAGAGTAAAACGTGTCCAAGTTGGAAGGCCACGACGGGCCGATGTCCGGTAATGGTCGTCCCAGGACTTCACCGTGTTACGTGTCAGCCCGTGAAACGTTGCGCGGCAATTTACGGCTACGTACGCCGCTGCCATTAGGACGCATCGTAAATAAGACGATGCAACGGCAACCGCACGTACACAGGCAGAGACGAGATTCTTTCGCTTCGTCATTTTTACCGTTCATTGTGCGTGGGCGTCGTTAATTTCTGGTCCACAGCCGCATACGCGTTTTTGTCGACCCACTTTCGCGACGCGAATCGCGTAACACCGTTCTTCCTCAAACCTTCTTGTCGTTACGACGCGCCTTTGAACGTCGCGCTCTGACGCGACGTTTTGTTGCCCGAGCCAGGAGAAACAGTGCATTGCTTCATTAACCGCGAGGCACGATGGAAGGTTGTATAGAGTTCTTGCGCCAACAATTTTCTTCTGAGCTAAAAGTATTTTCTACTGTTTAAAAAAATTCATTCTATTTATTTATGATTCAACTTAGTCTTGTTTGATTAAGTAATTTCATCTAGCAGTAGAATCTATCTGTTTCATAATTAATCATGTGCATTGAACACTTCATATCTCATTTAAGAAATGGATATGCTTGAGAATTATCGAATCTCGTTACACACGGTGATAAATCGGAAGCCGAACAAAATTGTGCGTGCGAACACACATCCATTATTCGCAATTGGGTAATTATCGAAACTTCGGTCGGATTTTCTGCCATCAACCGGAATTTAAACGATCCGCGTGCATCGACGATAGCGAGCCGAGTCCGCGGTTTCGTTCCATGGCAAGAAAAGTAGGTCGTAGGCGGGAATACACATATATACCTCCACTCGTTTCATTACGTGATTCCGGCTCTTTATTTCAATGTCCCGCGCTCGTATAGTCAATCTCCATTATCCGTGTCCCGAGGGTTGGTTGTGTATAACCAACCCAGGATTGCTTGAACAAATGCCAAAGGTTATTTCCCTCGTAAACTCGGTACGTTATACGCCGAAATGTTGGCGCGGGGGGGTTTTTACGAGGTTTCTTTTTCGTTTCAACTCGTCCCTTACGAACCGATACCGACGAAACCGCGAAATTATGAACGCGCCACGCCAGATATTACATAGGTGCTTCTCCTCGCGGCGGACGCGCGGTCCCCCCAATAAAAACCGCCGAAATATGTAACGTAATGCCCGTCGCGGTTCGCCGTGTATTTTATTCCACCGTTTATTCCGGAGATTTGCCGATTTATAGCGATATCGTTCCCAGCTCGATAAAACTGTTTGACCCGTTGAATACTTTGAATTTAAACTGTACGATATCGACGTCGGCCAACGAGGCACATTTATTTCCATCTCGTACGTTGTATAAAATACCAATCCTTTGTATTTAACACGCTCGTGTATAAATTCAGATTATGGTTGTTCCTCTTTACCGTCCGTGGGGTGCAATACTGTTGCTTTAGCACGTTATTATTTTCTACATGTCGTTTAGAAGTCGCGATTTTTAGACTTCTTTCATTCAGATCTCCTCATTGTACGGATATACCTGCATAAGTAGTCTGACGACTCGTACATGTTCTTATTTCAGGTTGCGACACGACCTTGGAGCCCGGATCAGGGCAAGACGCGGGAGATGACCAAGCTTTGCAACCATAAGAGGAAACTTTTGCTGCCGTCCACGGCGGCCAGTAGTCCTGTTGCATCCTGTAGATCGGTCTCCTCCTCCTCCTCCTCGTCGGCTTTCTTCGCCGTAACGGCCTCAGCGGCGATTCACGTGAACCCCGACTCGCCCACATCGCCGGTCAAAGCCAGGAAAAGTAAGTATACCTGACCTTGCGTATATCAATTCTGTTTCGCGATTAATTCTGTCCTCATGGATCGGTCTTTCTCTCCTTTCTTGTTGGCATCTTTTTATGCTACATGCATCATTTCGTTGGTGGTCCTAATATATGAATTGACGAAGGGATCGTAAGATAACAACGAAGAGATTCTTAATTGGAGAGGATCTTTGATCATTTATCAGGAAACTGTAATTTTTCCAGCTTTTATGCTGTATAAAATAGTTAGGTAAGGTAAACGATCGATCAAAATCAGGATTATCCCCGGGTAAAGTTTCTTGACGGTTTCGCGTATGAGCCCGCGAGAACTCGTCGAACTCGATCGCATTATGCATACTCGCCAATCAATCTCGCGTATACCACAGGCAGCCGCGGCGACGCGCACGTACTTACACATCCGGGACCCGTCGATATATCCTGGCAAAGCTCCCCCCCGAAGAAGTTTTCCCATCGATCCGTCGTATTAACAAAGTTCCGCTGCCGGTAGCCGGCGGAGGCGGCGCGGCTCGACGTGGCGCGCCATAATCGCTGAGAACGTTTATTCACCGTCGTAGCAGAAAACACGCCGGCGAAAACTTTTATTGGAGGACGACCAAAAGTTTTTCCTCGGTAGCTCGCCGACCGACCGAACGAGCGAGCGAGCGAGCTCGGTGATCATTAGGGCGCAGTGAACGGGAAAAAAAGTCCCGGGAAGAAGAAAAGGAACGACGAAATTGCGACATTAACGGGGTCTGTTGCCACCCTGCCCTTCTTTCTCTGTCTCGCTCTCTTTTTTTTTTCTTTACTTCGTTTCCTTCCCGTTTTCATCGCGGTCCTTTTCGCGTACGGAGAGACGGCATTAAAGCCTCCCGATGTCGGTGAAAAGAAGAGGGATGGAGGTGGCGAACGCGCGCGCGGCGCGCGGCGCTCGCCCGAGGGGGGTGGAATGATGTATCACCATGGCGACTAAACTCTCCGTCCGGATTTCATTACTAAATCCTATAACCGACCGAGCGAGACCGCCTCTCTTTCTCCTCTTTTTTCCCTGTTTTATTTTCACCCCGCACAATTTCACCCTTTCTTCCACTCTCGTTTTTTTATTCTCTTTTTCGTCTTTTCCTTTCTTCATCGCGTCGCTAATTAAACGGCTGTTATTCCGGGCCAAGTCTGTGCACACAGAGGCAGAAAGAGAGAGGAGAGGGTTAGTCGAGCTTACAGTTTTCTCTCACCGGGAGCGGGAAACAATAGGGCAGCGCCGCGCCGGCTGCATTGAAATTCGTCGAGTGTGTTTTGATCGTTCGCCCGGTTTCTGGGGCCAAGGGATTTAAGGGACATCGTTGCTTATTTTTAATCGCCTGCTCGCCAACTTTCCAGCTGTGTTTTTATTTCGCCCATTGTGATCCGGGCTCGGATTGCGGAGTTTAATTCGTCCGGGTTTCGGTTAATGGCTCGCAGGTTCAGTTCATTCTGAAATTGCGTTGTTCGCTTCACGGAGCAATAGTCTGAAAGTTACGACCATCCGACTAATGACACGAAATGTAATTTTTGAAAATTTCCACTAAAAAATTGCAAGCGATTCTTTAGATATCTCCGCAATATTCTATACGTTAGCATTTCTCCGAGACTTTACGAGCTTGTTTTTAACACTGACGGCGTCGCGTTTACGGGCGTCGCGTAGCTTCGATTCCAATTTTCCGGTGATATAAAACGACGCAGTCCGAGAAAACATCGCTCTCGCTCTTCGTTCCATCGTAGTGCCGTCATCTTTCTTTCCCCCCCTTCGACCGGGTTTCCATCGGGGGCATTTCAACGGCAGTGGAGGTAAATACGTATCGCGCGGTGTGCAAACACACACCCCACCGGATCGCGAATAGAAACGGGGAAATAAAAGGAATAAGCCAAACGACGAGAAGCGGAGAGGGCAGGGGAATCGAATGAATCTTTATCGTCATCCCTGTTCCACGAATACGAGTCTCAATAACGAAAGTCGATTTCATTTCTCCTCTCTTATTTTCGGTTTCGTCGCGAACGAGAACGGCTTTTGTGTGTGTGTGTGTGTACGTACCGAAACGGCGCGGCGTAGCTTGCCAAGAGGCTTCCGGCCATGAGAAACGAGAGACTCGATTGGCGCTATTAATGGAATCTCGACGACTGCTCGTTACTCATAGTATCTCGATTTACTTTCGTTTCGTTTTTAATATAGCCACGTGGCTGCACATACATTCCGTCCGACGAGGGAAACAGCGTACTCTGGAATTTATTCACCGGCTGCCCCGGCACTCCGCGCGTGTGTTGACTTTCACGCTTCGCGCGAGACATACCGTCAGCGGATTTGTCGACGCGTTAATAAATTTCGTTGATCCGATTTCGTGGGGTCTCGTCGGTCGGTCGGCGCGGCCAGCGGGGGACGCGTGTCGGAAAGAATCGGGACACGGTAAACGAGATCGATTGCGCGGCTGTCTTGTTGGACGATTTTCCGCGATAAATAACCCATCTCTGCCACTCCGATCGATCAGCGTTCTGTTACGACGGCGCGGTATGCTCCGCGCCATTTGATACCCCGGCGAAAATGATTTTACCGAAGGCGAGCTCTTCTAACTTCCATTTAAACCTCATTCTGCTACAATGAGATTTACCTCATTGAGGAATAAAATTTATGAGAAGAACGATCACGATTATTGACGTAATGAATTCAAATAGGATTTCTGTGTAATTCAGAGATTGTTCGGAATGGTTAACTGAAGAAGGAAATCGATCTGATTATAGGCAATAAAATTGAAAATTCTTATTTGGAAAAATGGGTAACGATTAACAGCGAGGACGAATGGTTCGGATAATTTTAAACAACCGTGGAACGGCGAGGGATTCTAAAGTATGTCGCAACAGTGTTCAGACAGTTAAAGCCCACTTGGGCGAACCCTCAGACGATCCACAAATTTGCATTCGGCTAGCTCCGTCGCTAAAATCCCGGCGCGGGACAGAGGAAGCCTAGTCTGGTATCGAATCAGGTGGTGTTAGGGTTGCGGAGGCCTAGACAGAGACGAGAGCTGGCCGGAAGAGGAACCAATCGGCCTGCTCGTGTCTTCTTATCGTGCGGGACGATCAATAAGTCCCGGGAGGAGGAAAGAATCCACTCTCCATTCGCTGCCTGCGACGTCAACGCGACGCGCGATGTTAGTTTGGTTCCGGCGGTGTGTTCGCTGGTGGGGGTTGAAACAGGAAGGAGAACGAGGACAGAGTGGGTGGCAGCGCGGCCGTTTCAGATGCTGGTGTTGGTAACGGCGGACAGAGAGTTGATAAGGGTTAATTTCGTCGTTACGAAGAGGCAGCGAGAGATAGGAGAGGAACGGAACGCGACGCGGGGGTCCAAACGTCGTCTCTCCGTGTCCAGTAGTGTGATTCTTGCGCCTGCCCCGAGTGATGTTCACCCCCGCCGACACCGTTTCAAACCACCACCGGCTCGTCTTCTGCCGGGACTCGTCCTGTTGTGGTCGCGCAAGCGCATTTTACACTGTTTCCGTTTAGTCCGCATCAACGGCTCGACCACATCGTTACGTCCGATCCTCCTCCAAGGCCCGGGGAATCGACATGACCGAATTGGGGAAGTAGTTCCTACCTTGGCCGAGGTTCAATATTGGCTTTCAGTGGTCTCGAGTGCTTTCGAATACGGCTGTTCCGGAAACAGATTTCGCCTCGGGGCTGCGCTCCGTCGCCGGAAGATTTACTCTAATTATGGTCTTTGGTCCGCTCGTTTCTCGATATTCCTGTCGAAGTCCGTCACCGCCGATTTTGCGACCACGATCGCCGAAGCTGCTGCACAGCGATGGGCACGATCTTTGGTTAGCACGTCAGTCTCGTAAATGTTGTGTGTTCGCAACAAGTCTGGAGTATTAATCAGTTTATCATGTTACCTTGCATGCTTTATAAGAATCATATTTTCCTTTGTAGACAATAAAATGTAACGAAGAAAACAATTTTGTACGTATAATAGTATAATTCGTTTAATTTAAAGATCAGTGAGATATTGAGATCATATAGTAGTAGCTTTTTAAGCAAATTTGCTGCGTCATCGCTTATACCTTCGAAGATTATGTTTCAAGCGCCCCTGAGCGATAGACCATATTCCGTAATTGCCGCGCGACCTCTGCTTCGTCAGGTTTAACGGGAGCACCGCTTATAGCCATAAGCCATTGACTGCAGATTTTTGGGGATAGGAGAGAGAGGCGAGGAGCGTGGGGTTTTACGCGTTCACGCCAACCTCCTACGGAAGCCACAAAATGCTTCAAAGATTTTACGCAAATCTTCACCCCCTTGGAAATCGGGTTAAACTGCCGCTGTTGCAGGCAAACCTGACTTTACTCTTAGATGGATTCATTATTACATCTACCCTCGCTTTCGCTTCACCCATCCATTCTCTCTTTCTCTCTCTCTTTCTTTCCTCGTTCTCTTCCTCTTCTCTTTCGCCTTGCTTTGCCCGTTTCCGAATTATCTTCCCCCCATTGAAGCCGCGGAGAATAATTATCCTCTGTAGGCTTACGGATAAAAGACCGCTATTGAAAGCCATCCCATTTTGCCACCCTTTTGCCATTCTACTCTCTGTTATCCTCGTAAATCAAGGTAATTTCCCAGTGTGAACGTCTGTTATGGCAGCTTGTCGACTATTGATTGCGGGAGATGCACGGCTTCACTTCGAAGTATAAAAGGCAATTACATTTTTTCGTTTTTCATATTATGTTTTATTCTAAGTCGCCACATTTATTTCTAGTGTATCTCTTCTTATAAAAATTGGGTGTATCAGTTTAATAATAAATTATTATCTGATAGAATAAAGACTATAGAAAATCATACTACGTTCAGATTAATGAACACTTCTGTTGGAAAAAGAAATAATGTAATAGCTTATTCAAAAAGTTGTTAATTATTTGAGCGAACGAACGAAATATTAACTTAAGCGAGTAATTTGTCTGAAAGGAAGGTTTCTGAATTAAACGAGTCTTGGATTTGTTACGCTAAATAGGGTTCAATCTTGCAGCAAGACTTTAAATGGAACACTTGTTCATTAAGAAGCTGGTTGAATAACAAGTGGAGGGTTAAGATCAGATTTTGGGAAGATAGTTTTATTTTAATTTTCCATGAAGGATTAATGCGATTCAGAATTAAAATTTAATCCGATGATGTATAATTACGTTGCTGAGATTGATTGGGCACATATTATTATACCTTCTTTTTTCTAAAGATGGTCTGAATAAGAAAAAGAAGCGGAAAATAGGCGGGATAACAGGCATTTTTTCCGGAGTCTCGGTCTCGCAACTGATGGCGCAAAGGGAAAGGACCATCGTCGCGGCATCCGGACAAGGATCGCCAGTTTCAAATGGATCACAGGTAATGTGACATTAGGAGAAATACTATATATAATCAGGCAATGTTAGTTAATTATCATAAATCCGTAAGACGACAATTATTTTATTTATAAAAAATGTTTCGCGTGTTTCAGGCGTGGCCGGTCGCAATTCCCAATGTGCAAGTTCAGCAGAGTAGTCAGCAGAATTGCCATCAGACGTTAAATTCACCCTCACAGAGTCAAGACGTAAACGGCTGTGCAACGAGAAATCCTTCCCAGCAAAGGTTAAATCAGCATAATATGCCGGGCATGCTGATGGGAAATTCGCTGATCACGAATCAGCAGTGTGCGAACTTTAACAACATGACTCAGCAGCAGCAGCAACTGTTGCAACAGCAACATCAACAGCTGATGTTACAGCAGCAGCAGCAGCAGCAGCAACAACAACAACAACAACAACAACAGCAGCAACAGCAGCAGCAACAGCAACAACAACAGCAGCAGCAGCTTATGCAGCAGCATATGTCGCAGCAGCAGCAACAGCAGCAACAACAAGCACAGCAGCTGCTTCCTCATCATCAGCAGATGCAACACATGCAAATCCTGCAGCAGCAAGAACAACAGCAACAACATCAGAACGCCATGGTGAATCAGTTGGCTCAACAACAGGCGCCGCACTATATCAACCAATTGAACCAGCAGTCATTGCACATGATGCAGCAACAAGAGCATTTGAATCAGCAGCAACAACAGCAGATGCACATGCAACAGATACAAAAGCACAAGATGCAGCAACAGCAGCAGCAACAGCATTTATCTCAGGAAGTTGATCAACAATCGGGCAATTATAATCCTCAGCATTCGTCGGAGAACTACGTGCATCACATGCAACCATCACAAATAACGGTTCAGTCGGCACTCCATCCGCAGTTGCATCAAATTCACCAGCACCAGTTGCAACAGCAGCCGCAGCAGCATCAGCCGAATCAACACATGATGCAGACGCAGCCCGCTGCCGATCATTTCCAAATGCAGATGCAGCAATTGCAACAGCAGCAGCAGCAACATCAACAACAACAACAACAACAGCAGCAGCAGCAGCAACAACAAGTATCGCAGGTGTGTGTGCAACCTCAGTATCCTAACCAGCAAATGAATCATCATTCGTTGGACGTGATGCAGCAACAAACCTCGATTCCCGTGATGAACACTGCAGAGATGCAGAACAGGCATAATCGCACGCTCTCCGTAACAGACGAGGATCTAAATGCGAAACAAATGCAACAGCAACAGCAACAGCTCTTGTTGCATAATCACACGATACAGCGGCATCATGTTGTACAGGGCGGAAATTTGCAGAGCAATCCGCACGAGAACCTGCAACGCATGTACGCGCAGAATCAGGCTCAGTATCCTGCGAGGAACTTCGACTCCTCTAAAGGAACCGTTGTGGACATCAAACATCACCACCAGTACACTTTGTCGATTGTCGCCGGAAGGAGCCCAAACGCGAATCACGCTGCCGAAGCGCAGCCTGGAATGGGACCAAACGGGCAGCCCGGTAACGTGCATTTCAATTCGAGGACACCGCCGTGGCAGCAGAATCGATCGGCCTCGGGTTCGCATCAACCGTCCATCGGCGCGGTTCAGAACATCACGTGCAACTCGTTCGATCGCGTTCCGCCTCTGCATCACCACATTCCACAAGCGTCTACCTGGACCGACGAAGTGGCGCGGAAGAAGGCCAAGCCGAGCAAAGTGGTGGGAAAGAAGCAACGTCAGCACAGCGTCATGGATGTACGAAGCAGCAGTCACGATCAGTCCGCGCCGAGTCCGATCGATGAGTTCAACGAAAAAAATCAACAGAACAATAGTCAAATAGGTTCGACCGTGAATGGTAGCGGACCATCGTTTTTGGAAGATCCTAGCGGTTACCTCGCGCAGCAAACAGCTTTGTTGAATAGCACGATATCGAGGCAAACCGATGTCAGCAGTTCTCAAGTCGGAATAATGAACAATTCAAAAACGTCGCAGACGAATCACAATTCATATTTATCCAACAACGCTTATCTTCCACAACCAAAACTTTCCTCTGGGGCCAGTCCCACGAGCACCTCAACGTCCAATTCTGTGAAGAACCATGCAACCTCGCCCGTCGTTGTGCACAGTAGCATGACACCGACGTCGAGCAATGGTGGAACGGATTCAGAGAGCAGTCCTTGTCATGGTTGCGTAACCAGCGGCGACAGTCAGTCCTACGCGCAAGATCAATATAAACAACAGACGCAACGTCAGTACTTGATGCATTCGGATCAACGCGAGGATCCTGTCACATCTTCCACGTTCGGGGAGCAATATCAGAACAACCAACAGCAAGCCGATCTGCGGCCGATCCAAGGTGGCACCGTGAGCACCAGTCACGGATCTCCGATAGGCACGAACAGTCCGGCGAATTCTGACACTCCAGCTCCATCGACGCCCGGGATGTCGCAACCAGCGACGCCTCAAAGTCTGATTTTATCGCAGCCGTCGACGCCACATAGTTATTCACAACCGGCAACGCCTCATTCGCATTCTTCGTCCAGTCAGGTGCCATCGCAACCCTTAACGCCTCAGGCCCACCAACCGTCGCAGTCTATGATGAACAGCGCTGTACCAGAGCAGCGCTCGGAAACACCTTGCTCCGCTACAACGAGCTCGAATGTAGTTCCTTCTAGTACCACATCATCGCAAACTTCCACGATCGTTGCGGATAATATGACTCCTCAAACTACGAAAAGGCAAACGACGAGACAGACGTCCTTGGACGGTTATCAGCCACATCCGCACACTGTGAACGCCGTTTCGAGGGTGCCGATGAATCATTTCCCTGGAGCGTCGGCGGTGATAACTACTATGGCGAGCGGGCATACTGTCAGTAGTAACACCATCACGTCTGTACTAGCTGGAAGGGCGAATACAGCCACTGTTTCGGTGAACACACCTGCCGGAATGCCAAATCCCGCTATACAGGATATACTCGCGAATAAACCACAGCATCAAACATCTTCGGCAACATTGTCGAACGTCTCAACCACTGCTGTCACTACGACGTCGTGTTCTTTTACGAGTAGTCAACCGTCGATGACGATAAGCGTCTCGAAGTCGCCATTGGAAATGGTTCAGAGCGTCGTCAGCAGCATACAAGTGCCTCAGGCCAGCACCAGTTCACCGGTTCATCCGCCGAATCAGCACCAGCAACAGCAACAACAACAGCAGCAGCAACCGGCACAACAACATCCTCAGTCGAATGTTCAAGTACATAACGTTCTCACATCCGGTGGAATATTGAAACATCCCACTGGGTCGACCCTACCCCCTGGTCATATCTTGGTGTCCAACGGCGGACAACTTATAATGGCTAGCACCGGCACGGGAATTAATGGCGTGATGGCAGCACCTCCACCGAAAATCATTTCGAACGCCAATTCCATGCCACCGTTGTCAGTGTCGCCGATGGTTACCAGCGTAACGGGAGCAGTTAGTCAAGTGATACCTACGGTTGGTGTTGCGCAGCAAGTTATAGGGCAACCCACGGTGCTTGTGAACACTATACAAACCCCTGTCTTGATACAACCAGGCGTCATGACGATGGACAGCATAGGACAAAACGTACAAATACCACATCTGACTGTGGCTGGAAACGTGATACAGAACGCGCAGTCGATTTTGGACGCGAATCAAGACGTCGCGAGGAGCGTGAGTGCGAGTCAAGGAATGGTGAACCGGCAACCGTCGTTACTGTCACCTGAGTCGACGATGAGCAAGAAGAAAAGTTACAAGAAACGAAAGGCGAACTCGCAGACGGTCGCCTCGATGTTACACATTGCTTCCTCCCAGCAGAACGCTGGTATGCTGATGCAGTCACAATCGAATTTCGCTCAGCAGAACTTCCAGGCGCAAAGTATAGGCGGTCCGATGCTGCAAGCGTTGACCATCGTTCCAGGAAAAGGCGGAGCACCTGCTCAATTAGTAATGAACGGACAAACCGGCGCGACATCGGCACCGTTCAACACCCAGCAGATTATCACGAATCCTCAACCGGCGCAGCAAATAAACCTCCTCCAACCCGTGAACCTATTAAATGGAACCACCGGAATGGTACAAAATTTTCCTACTATTCAACAGTTCATCGTTCCCGGTATCGGGAGCATGGTCATGTCTGCTGACGGGACGGCTACGTTGCTTCAGGACACGGGCAACATCGGTATGCAACTACAGATACAAAACGTGAACGGTCAGAATGTGTTAACACCTGTGCAGAGTCACAGCGGGATATTCAACCCGAGTCAGAGCATTTTGGCAGCTGGTCCTGCCGGAATGGTGATTCGGGCGCCGCAGGCGACCGGTGGGAAGATCATTCAGCAACACAGTCCAGGCGCACAATTCCTCTCGCCGAACAGTGGTCAGTTTTTGGTGAACGGGACCACCTCGTTCGGGAACCAGCTGAGTCCGATCGTAGCGAATGTCAGTCCGAATCAGCAAGTGACATTTAACGCCTCGCAAGTGCGTCCGACGAATATGCAAAGTCAACAGGAATTCATACAGATGAACGGGCAGACGTTAATGGTACCTTGCGGCACCGCGCAAAACATTGCCGTTTCCTCGGCGTCCAATCAGCAAAACACAACGTTCGTCCAACAGAATACCACGATTGTGCAGCAACAGACGACTATGGTGTCCAACAATCAGATACCAAATTTTCAAGCCGCACCATCCAACGGAACCACCGTCGATCCTTCGTTAAACATTGATCACAATCAATCGTACATCTTGAGTTCCGGTGTGATTCAGGGGAAACCGCCCACCTCGCCGAAGAGCACTGTGAATTCACCGCCTTCAGAACAGAACGTCGAACAACAACAATACGTTCTGACCAGTAGCAGTACCACCGTTGTCGAAAAAGCGGCTCAGCAGAACGATCAGCATAGTCCGTTAATGGCGAGACACTCGGTTTCCACGCAAACGGCCGGGAATCAAGCAACCATGGCTCAGTCGGCTATGATGCTACAGGGCTCACCTCCGGACACCACCACTCACAGTCCGGGGAATAATCAAAGGTCGAACAGTCCTTCCGTGGATAATACGACGCACGGAGCGGCTTCACCTGCGGCACCGATTTCAGCCAGGCATCACTCGTCTTCTACGGTAACATTGATTTGACATAATTTCATTAATTACTCGATCAAATTTTAGAATCTTCAGAACTCGAGTTCTTAAATCTTATTTTCAAATGCTTGGCAGTGTTCCATTAGTAATTACTATTTAATGTTCAATAGTTGACTTAAAGTTTTTTTCAGTCTTTCTCTTTGTCTTA